TACATAAATTTTTTGCCCATTGAGAAGGCTCCATTTTACTTAGGGATTTTGATCATTCTTGTTCCAAAAATCATATTTCATATTATATGAAAGTCTTAATTATGAAATTAAATTATGCAAGATTTTTTCATATACTTACATTATATGAGAATAGTTAGCTTCTTGTTATTTGTAGAAATCCACTTAATAAGCATTCTAAAATCATTTAGAACCATTCATTCAACAAATATTTATTGACTATATAATGTACACCAGGCACTGAGTCTATATTACTGTAAAAACCAGGCATGGCCCCAAACGAAGCCCACAATCTAGGGCAGATAAATAGTAAAACAAGAAAAATACAAGTAAATATGTGTATTAGTGCCTGTCCCAGTACTTAGCAAATAGTAAGGATATGATCAATTGATATATAAGATAAATAACAAACATCCTGTGATTGATGTTTTGACTCCTACAGTCTAGCAAGGCATAGGGTTTATTTTTAATAAGTAAGCATATAATAATTGAATGCCTGTATTAATATCTTTTAAGAGTCTCTGGGGGGCACAAATGGTTAAGTGCTTAACTATTAGCCAGAAGCTTGGCAGTTCAAACTCACCCAGAGGCGCCTCAGAAAGCAGGCCTGGTGATCTGCCTCTAAAAGGTCACAGCCGTGAAAACGCTAGGAAGCACAGTTCTACTCTGCACACATGGGGTCGCCATGAGTCAGAATCAACTCAACAGCAACTAACAACAATATCTTTTACCTGACTCTATCAAACTCAAACTCAACATAACTCAGGGAAATCAAGAAAGTCAAAAGATACACAACGTCAAAAGTTATGAAACATGCATCCTTCTAGAGAGGTAGATAGTGTGGTGTGAGAGTTCAGAGGATGGACTCTAGAATCAAACAGCGGCAGACTCCACCAAATTGTAGCTTTACAGCTAACTAGCTGGGTGACTTTGGACAAGTCCCTGAAGCTTCTGAACCATGATTCCACCTTTGTCAAATGAAGAAAAATATTCAAGATTCACAGTAATCTGGAAGACAGGTGAGATGGTGCCTCCTTGTGTACAGTGCTTTACAGTTTACAGGTATGTTTATGATTCTTAACCATTGGCCATTTTTAATAATGAAACAGTAAGCTTCAGCCCTGTTCCTTTTGCAAATGTATAAATGCAAATGGTAGCACTTACATGGATAAGAGCTGGGATGTTTTTCGACTGCAGTTTAAAGCAACAATTTAAGTAACATTCAGGAAATGTCTTCGGGGTCTTGCACCAAACCTTGTGTCAGATTTTTCAACTAGCAATTTGAATTTGCTATTGTGAGGATGACACAGGACCGGGCAGTGTTTCATTCTGTTGTACATAGGGTCGCTATGAGCCGGAACCGACTCAATGGCACCTAACAACGACAACAATTTGAATTCACTTTCAAAGCTAGAAAAATTCCAACATATTGCCTACTGTGTAGAAATGAGTATCTAGAAAGTTTGCGCAGTTTTCCAGAGTGTGGGTGGAGCACAGGGTGTTGTTATGGGTTGGCTGAGTTCAGTAAGCATATTCATTTTTTAAAAATGATTCTGGCAGTTGCCATTTTCATCCCCACTAAACTCAAAATAAAACAAAACAAAAAAAATCCATTGCCATCGAGTCAATTCTGACTCATAGCGACCCTATAGGACAGAGTAAAAATGCCCCGTAGGGGTCCAAGGAGCAGCTGGTGGATTCCAACTGCCAACCTTTTGGTTAGCAACCGAGTTCTTAACGACTGCGCCACTAGGGCTCCAACTAAACTCAAAGACACTGTAAATTATTTAAAATAAAGCTAAAGATCCAAGTTAATTGGCCTAATAATGTGCTTAGTGCTTCTGTTCTACCTCCTAGTTCTTTGTGTAGCCTGGGGTCTTAAAAGTTTGCAAGCAACTATCCAAGGCACAACAATTGGTCTCTAAAATAAAGGAAAAGCAATGGCCTGACTCACTCACTCAGCTCCAAATACACTGGCCTCTCTGTCCCTCAGAAACACGAAGCTCATTTCTGCTTAGATTGAGGACACTTAACATCCCCTCTACCTGGAACCCACCTCCCCCAGATCTTCACATGAGACTGGTTCTTTCTCAATTCAAGTTACAGCTGAGATGTCACCTCCCTGTCTAGCTTCCCCAAGGTCCCTGGGCAGTGCAAATGGTTTGCACTCGCTACTAACCTAAAAGGTTGGCAATTTGAACCCACCCAGCTGTGCTATGGAAAAAAGTCCTGGTTCCATAAAGAAAACTCTATGGAGCAGTTCTACTCTATGACGCATGGGGTTTCCATGAGTCGGAGTCAGTTTGAAGTCAGTGGGTTTTTTGCCTTGCCCTGAAGCCATGCATTATCTCGTTACCCTGGTTTATTATTTTCATAGCACATATCCCTAAATGAAATTATCTATTTGTGCAGGAAATTATTTTCTGTCTGCCCCAGCAGAGTGTAGCTCCACGAGGACAGGGACCTTGTCAATCTCATTCCCTAGTGGATATCCCTAAGGCCACAAACATCTCTGCTTCTAGGATGGACTGGGCACAGGGAGGAACATACAGAACTACATCAGGTACAAAGTAACCCCCATGTGGCTCCCTTCCTTCAGGCTGTGTCTTCTCTACCCCGGTCTGTTGGAAAATCAGGCATTGCAAGCATAAGATGAATGCATAAGTATATTGGAAAGAGCAGACACGTGTCCAGAATAATGAGGTTCCAGCCGTGGTCCTGGCTCTCTAGCTGTGGGACTCTTAGCAAATCAGTCTACTTCTCTAAGCTGCAGTTTCAATCACCTCATATGCATGGGAAAGCTGGACAATGAATGACAAAGGCTGAAGAAGAATTGACGCCTTTGAATTATGGTGTTGGCGAAGAATATTGAATATACCATGGACTACCAGAAGAATGAATAAATCTGTCTTGGAAGAAATACAGCCAGAATTCTCCTTAGAAGTAAGGATGGCGAGACTTTGTCTCACATACTTTGGACATTTTATCAGGAGGGGCCAGTCCCTGGAGAAGGATATCATGCTTGGTAAAGTAGAGGGAAAAAGAGGAAGATCTTCAAAGAGATGGAGTGACACAGTGGCTGCAACAATGGGCTCAAGCATAACAACGAATATGAGGATGGTGCAGGACTGGGCAGTGTTTCATTCTGTTGTACGTAGGGTCGCTATGAGTTGGAACCGACTTGACGGCACCCAACAACAACAACAATAAGCTGCAGTTTCCTTAGGTTTTCAGGATGATAATCCTACCTGTTCTGCTCACTTCACAGGGTTGCTAAGGAGGATAAAGATAGTCTTAAGGCATGGAAGGCACGTTGAGCAAGCTCTTCCTGATTATCTCCCAATATTCCCCTTCGAGAACTCATCTGAACGCAGCTAGTCAGAATTAACGTATGTCCAAGTCTTCTCAACAGCGTTTCTTTGTGTATGCTTGTGCCTCTGCTTTCGATATCTTTAAACCCTCCTTATCTACATATCCCTGGGTGGCACAAATGTTTAAGCACTTGCCTGCTAACAGAAAGGTTGATGGTTCGAGTCCACCCAGAGGCAACTTGGAAGAAAGGCCTGGTAATTTATTTCCAAAAAATCGGCCATTGATAACCCTGTGGAGTACAGTTCTACTCTGAAGCACATGGGATTTCCATGAGTTGGAATCCACTCAGTGACAACTGGTTTGGTTTTTGGTTTATCCATATATCTAGAATCACTTGTAATTTACAGCCCATTTCAACACTCCCTAATTTTCCTCTCCATTAAATTGCCATAGTACTTCATCTGTATATCTCTTGTTGCTGTTAGCTGCCATAAGTCAGCCCCAACTCATGGCAACCCCATGCACAAGGTCCTGTGCCATTCCCATGAGTGGTAGTGGATCCATCTGTTGTGATCCACAGGGTTTTCACTGGCTGCTATTTGGAAATAGATCACCAGCCTTGCTTCCAAGTTCATCTTAGTCTGGAAGTTCCACTGAAACCTGTTCAGCATCATAGCAACTCACAAGCCTCCACTAACAGACAGGTGGTAGCTGCACATGAGGTGAATTAGCCAGGAATAGAACCCAGGTCTCCTGCATGGAAGGCAAAAATTCTACCACTGAACCACCAATGCCCTCTGTGTACCTCTAGAAACACAGAAATGTAGTAATCTGCTGTCACCTGGTTATCACAAGATGTCCAGGGAGGGAAGCTAAATGGTCAAGGATGCCCAGCAGACCTGTGGTTATCACAGTTCTTTCTGAATTAACTAGCATACATTAGAACAAGAGAGGTTTACGGGAGGGGACGTTCACTCCAGGCCTTTCCCACTGATTTTCTAAGTGAAGTCCAAGCCTTGATATTCTTCATTTTGTTTGACACGATGGGGGTGGGGTTAGGGAGGCACCACAGATTCCATGTGGCTGATTGCTGTGTAATTTACCTGTCGAAATAGGATATGTTGTTGTGGGAACAATAGAGAGGAGCTTGACCAGTGTAACCTGATCCTGGTGAGCACCAGGTGAAAGGAGACTTAGACAGCGCCCACAGGGTTCACTTTTGATCTCCCAAAGAAAGCCCTTTTATGCTCCCTCATTAACCTCTCCTTCTTATCGCTCATCCTTCAAGAGCTTGTTTGCCTCATGTTTTTTTAAAAATCACTTTCTGATGCACCTTTACAATATAAACAACATTAAAAAAAAAAAAAAAAAAAAACAGTTGCCATCAAGTCAATTCCAACTCATGGTGACCCCATGCGTGTCAGAGTAGAACTGTGCTCCATAGGGTTTTCAAGGCTGTGAACTTTCAGAAGCAGATCACCAGGCCTTTCTTCCGAAGTGCCTCTGGGTGAGTTTGAGCTGCCAACCTTTCGGTTAGTTGGCAAGTGTCTTTGTACAATTCTTTAAATGAGTTAACCTGTTCCCTAAGTAAAACTAAGCATTTCAGAGTGTACTTGAACTTATAGGCAGTAACGTTTAAAATTGCATTTACTTTCTTTTCTGTGTTTCAGAAGTTTGATTCTGTGGAAGACATCATTGAACACTACAAGTATTTTCCTATTACACTGATTGATGGGAAAGATAAAACCGGTGCCCACAGGGAGCAATGCTACCTGACTCAGCCTCTCCCCCTCCACAGGTACTTCTCACCTAGGTAGCCTCGCCTTCCTTTCATCTTTCGTTCAGTGGATGCCTCTATCATTTTTCATTTATTTCTGTGACTTCAAAAGATTACCTTTTCCTGGCTGCAAAGAAAAGAAAAGCATTCTAATGGAAATTGGAAAATCAGTCATGGTTTTGAAAGCTCCAACCACAGAAGAAATACTTATAAGATGCAAAACTAAAAACCAGCTTTGTGAAACTTATCTTCTAAAGAAAGAACTATAAACGTGGTCATTATGCCCATGGCACAGATGCACACTGAAGGCTACAGGAAGCTGTTGCTTATATATTTGCAGCTAGCATACGACATGTTTATGTGAGACTCCCAAGTCCATGCTCTTTCTAGGATACCGAACTGCCTTTCTTTATTGCAGAACTGTTTGGACTTGCGCATTTACAATATTATGGTGATTCCTTGTACTACAGATGTTGGTGAATGTTAGCTACATTTTATTTGTAATCCTGGAAATTCAATTATAGGAAGAAATGTGGTATGGAAAACAAGAGCTCTTGTGAATATCACCTGAAAGACAAAAATCAAAAATACTTTTACTATGGTGTGAAATGATCACAGGACCGGTCTCCGGCATAAAAAAAAAAAACAAAAAAACAATTGCAATCAAGTTAACTCCGAGTCATGGAGACCCTGTGTGTATCAGAGTAAAACTGTGCTCCACAGGGTTTTCAATGGCTGATTTTTTCAGAAGTAGATCACCAGACCTTTTTTCTAAGGTGCGTCTGGGTGGACTCAAATAGTCAACCTTTTAGTTAGTTCATTAACAGTTGGTACCACCCAGGGACTCCATACTCTATTTAAAATAGCTTTTATCTGATGGAATTAACAGATTCATAGTAAGAAACTCACAAGATGATATCTTACTCCAGCCTTAAGTTAGGTTTAGGTCTAAGTTAAAATAAAATTTAAAAAAAAATTCTAATTGTGGACTTCAGTTCAATGATAGAGAAGAGCTCTCCTCAAATTAGGGCTAATATTTTGCAGTGATATTGCACATGTCATAATTTCATTCTTGTTTTACAATACAGATGGGGAATCTGAGGCTTAAAGAGATTATCTTATGCAGTATGTCCGGAGATCCCAGATTTTAGTCCATTTTGCCTGGCTCTATGCCAGGGCATGTTCCTAGGTACAGTCCCCATCATATGGCATTTGACAATGGAATTGAGGAGCTAAATTTAAAAAGAGAGAAACATTTTGAAAATACAAACTTACCCACTTTTAAATAAATGAATTAATTAACTCTTGTAGGGGAATAGGTTAAAAAAACAAATGAGTTATTGTTGAAATTAATGGTACACGATTACTTCCAATGTCGCTAAAGCCTATGTGTGCACTTCATGGGTGTTTAAGTAATTGTAGGAGTCCCTGAGTACGGCTGCTAACCTAAAGGTCAGCAGTTCAAATCCACCAACCACTCCCTAGAAACCCTATGGGGCAGTTCTACTCTGTCTTATAGGGTCACTATGAGTCGGAATCGACTCGATGGCAATGGGTTTGGTTTTTGGTTTTTCTGGGTATTGCAAATCGTTAATGTACTCACTGCTAACCAAAAGATGAAGGTTGCAGTCTCCCCAGAGACGCCTCAGAAGAAACACCTGGTGATTTATTTCCAAAAAATCAGTCACTGAAAACTCTGTGGAGCACAGTTCTACTCTGACACTCATGGGGTCTCAATGAGCAGGAATTGACTCAATGGTAACTGCTGTGTTTTGGGTTTTTGTTTTGTTTTATTTTGTTTTGTTTTTTGCTGTTGTTGTTGTTGTTTTGAGGGGAGGGTATGTAATTGTAGCTTTAATAAAAAACTAAAATCAAAAAAAGGATAAAAAGGCAAAAGAAATCAATGAAAACCCTGCAAATAATGCCCAGGATTATCTCTAAAACAGCAGACGAAGAGTCTTCTTGAGAAACACTCTTAGCATCTACCCAACCACAGAGCAACAGCAGAGGCACTCTGCTTAAACAGGGTCAAATGTGAAGCAGTGCCTCCTAAGTTCCATCAGGACCATTAGATGAAGGAGCTGCTTGTATAGTTGGAGCTCTTGATGAACTATGATCCAAGAGACAAGACTATTTAAATTGGAGCTTGGCTACTAAGGACCCGTTTGATCAGAGTTGAAGGAAGTATGACTATTGGCCACTCTCAGCTGGTCTTTAGCCAGCTCTGGCCAGCATGGAAAGAAAGACTCTACAGAGACTTTCCAGGATCAAGTGCAGGAAGAATCTGTCAGTCACCCTAAAAAGCTATCGGGAGAACAACTATTGGTCTCTATACATCTGGAGTAAAAGAGAAAGGAGAAACCAAAGACCCAGTGAAGAAACTAGTCTACAGGACTAATTGCCTACACAAACCATGACCTCATTTGTCCTGAGATCACAAGAACTAGATAGTGCCTGGCAACTACTATCAACTGTTCTGACCAGGGACATAATAGATGGTTGCAGATAGAATGGGAGAAAAACCTAGAACAAAACTCAAATTAAAAAAAAAAAAGGCCACATTTACTGGACCGAGAAGAGACTAGAGGAACTCCTGAGACTATACCCCTGAGATACCCTTTAAACTTTGAACTGAACCCACTCCTGGAGGTCACTTTTCAGCTAAATAACAGATTGACTCACAAAATAAACAATATCACCTGAGAGTGCTGTGCTTCTTTGAAGAGAAAATCATTGATATGAGACAAATGGCCAACATTTACCCTAAAGCAAAGATGAGAAGACGGGGGGATGGGACATGGAAGCTAGATTAATAGAAACAGAACAACCAAAACAGAAATAATGAGAATGTTGACACGTGGAAAATGTAAGCAGTATCGCTGAACAATCTGCATAGAAATTGTTAAATGGGAACCTAATTTGCTGTGTAAACTTTCATCAAAAACACAATAAAATGTTTAAAGGAAAAAAAAGCTACTGGGAGTTTACCAAGGTCTTCAATTTACTGATTCACTGGAGCTGTGCCATTCAAAGCTTGTTTTCAAGAAATGTTTCTGAATCTCCTTAAGAAAGTCATTGTTGAAGTTGATGAGCATCAAATGGTTAACATTTCGAAGACTATGTTTTAAAAGACATTATCACCTCTTATTCACAGATGCATGACATAATGTTAGAGGACAAAGAAGTAAATATCAGCCATCTTAAAACTCCCAAAATATTTGTACATATGAAAATCTCTGGAAAGAAATATAAGATTCAAAATATTGACAGGGATTGCTTCAGATGACTGGGATTTGAGGAACTGTATTAATTGGGTCCTCTGGAAGCCAGATGTCAAGATGGAGTTGTTGTTTTAGATGCCATGGAATCAGTTCCAACTCATAGCAATGCTATGTTCAACAGAATGAAACACTGCCCAGTCCTTCACCATCTTCACAATCATTGCTGTGTTTGAGCCCATTGTTGCAGTCACTGTGTCAACTTGCTGAGAATCTTCCTTCTTCCTTGACCCTCTACTTTACCAAGCATGACATCCTTCTCCAGGAAATGGTCCCTCCTGATAACATGTCCAAAGTATGTGAGACAAAGTCTTACCATGCTTGCATCTAAGAATTATTCTGGCTGTACTTCTTCCAAGATAGATTTGTTTGTTCTTCTGGCAATCCACGGTATTTTCAATATTCTTTGCCAACACCATAATTCAAATGCATTAGTTCTTCTTCAATTTTCCTTATTAATTGTCCAGCTTTCCCATGCATATGAGCCGATTGAAAATACCATGGCTTGGGTCAGGCACACCTTAGTCCTCAAGGTGACATCTTTGCTTTTTAACACTTTCAAGGGGTCTTTTGCAGCAGATTTGCCCATTGCAATAAGTTGTTTGATTTCTTGACTGCTGCTTCCATGGGCATTGATTGTGGACCCAAGTAAAATGAAATCCTTGACAAATTCAATATTTTCTCCTTTTACCATAATGTTGTTTGTTGTAAGAATTTTCATTTTGTTTATGTCAGGTATAATCCACACTGGAGGCTGTAGTCGTTGACCTTCATCAGTAAGTGCTTGAAGTCCTTTTCATTTTCAGCAAGCAAGGTTGTGTCATATGCGTATTGCAGATTGTTAATGAGTCTTCCTCCAATCTTGATGCCACTTTCTTTGTCATATAGTCCAGCTTTTTAGATTATTTGCTCAGCATACAGACTGAAGAAGTATGGTGAAAGGATACAACCTTGACACACCCCTTTTCTGATTTTAAACTAAAAAGAAGGAGTGAAAAGTGCAAACATTTATTGGGGCCAATTCCTGTGAAAGGTAAAGGTAAGAAATTCAAGTAGGTAAAAAAAGTCTTCAGAGTGTAATGCAGGTCTGACACCTATGAAAGAAGAGAGGGAAGGAAGAAGGAAAGAGTAAGAAAAGCCTCAGACTGTGATGTACCTCTGGGAAAGTTTTGGCCAACCCAGTGGAGTTCCTGGGTGGTGCAAATGGTTAACATGCTCAGCTAATAACTGAAAGGTTGGAGGTTCAAGTCCAACCAGAGGCATCTCAGAAGAAAGACCTGGCAATCTACTTCTAAAAAATCAGCCATTGAAAACCCTATGAAACACAATTCTACTCTGACACACATGGGATCCCCATAAGTTGGAATCGACTTGACATTAACTGGTAATGGAGAGCTCCAGAGCAAAGACTGCTCATAAAGGAGAGAGACTCACGTTGGGCAGAAATGACAGGCCCTAGTATCCCACCATGTTCAGTCATTGCTGGGCTGCCCAGGAAAAGCAAGATCTTCAAATGCTGTGGGGGATCCAGAAGGCCCCGAAGCTGGAGGCTGTCAGCCCACTTTGCTGATCAGCAAGTTCTTCACTGAAGGGAGACCCAAGTGTCCCACCTCCACGTTTGCCACAGTGACATTCTGTTTTCCAAGCTGGGTGTAATAGGCACATTTTGCTTGTAATAGATAGCTAAAGATAAGGACATTTAAATTTTAATGGTGTTTGATTCTCCCAGAAGTTCAGTAAGAA